TGATAGAAACTGATGCTAGCTAGTGACATCGGGATGACCAGTCAACCAGAGCTGTGTTGGGTACCAAAGGTGGCAAGGAGGGTCCAGGGGATGACAATTCTGATTGGTCGAAGTGGAATGCCAGTCACGTTGAATTGAGGCGTCTGAGGTCATATCAAGGGAGAAGACCATTGATAATAGCTGACATTTGTTTAATGCCACCTTATCACATTACATTATTTATGATTAATTAATAACTTTAGGTCTCAAGTACTTGCATTCCAGTACCGCCATTCCAGTCCCTTCTAAAAGTAAGCTGTCCTGGTTTGCCTAGTAGGTGTGTGGGGATTTAACCAGACAACACGGGTCCACGTTCCACCCTGAATCAACACAGTAGAGTTCAAAGCCTTGACTGATTAAACACGGACAGGAAGAGGGGAGTGGCCGGTGATACACTTTTTAACCACAAGCTCCGTTCTTTACTCATCTCCAGATTGTTGGTTTTATCCCCTAATCCCTTACCTAATTGATTTCACCTGCTTTCACCCTCCCCCACCCCCGCCCGGGGTTCTTGCCTTGTGTTTTTATGGGGCACTCCCTCATCCTGTCCCACTCCGGGTCTCAGTTCATTCAGGATGTTATTATTAAGTGCTACACCCTGGGTGGCTTAGAAACTTCAGATTTCTTTTTTCTCAAAGGTCTAGAAATTGAAGGGCAGATTCCAGCATGCTCTGGGTCTAGCGCCCCCTTCTGGATTACAGACCACCTTGCTCATGTGTAGTTTTATGTAGCACCGTGCAAGCAAGTCTCTGACTTTGAAAGGACCACGAATTCTGAAACTATCACAGTTTTAGTAAATTACCCCGTTCATGAAAAGTCCACTTTTGCAACATCCGAATGATCTCCCACAGACCTTGACTTGTGATAACACCACGCTGGGACAGGATGTGGAGTTTCAGAACATGACTTTTTGGGGGTCAAACATTCAGTCCATAATAGTAGGCCAACTATTTTGAATTCTTTGGAATTCAATACAGGCCTCACTTTTGACAGGAAGCCTTCTCGGGTTCTGTCAGCCAGAGTGGGCTCTCTTCACTTGATGCTTGCCTGCAGCACACACGGTTTCAATAGCTTATGTCTTTTAAGATGGCCTAAAAGAAAACACACGTGTAGCACGCATTTGCTAAGTGATTGAGACCAGGGGCTCTGCCTCATGTGTACGCCAAATTACCTGTGCTGTTTTCTCAAAGGGACCTGCTTTCTGGGTCCACATATGTCATTGTAAAACACAGGCACTGTGTCACATGAGATCTTAGCTTTATTTTTCTTTTATATCAGCTTGGGACTTCTAAGCACTTTATTCAGTAAGAATTCTGCCTACTTACGCTGTGTTGTGTCTTATGTACATACAATCTGCTATTTCCTTGCATTAACCTCCCTTGTATTAACCGTACCTGCTTTTCATACCTAGCAGGGCAGTGTGCAATCTCTATCTAATGGGCCTGTTGTTGGGAGGGTCACATGAGGTGCTGATGCTATTTATAATGTTTCTTAAGTTAGAGTAAGTATAGAAGAGCATGTAGCATTTAATTGTGTTTAATGTCGAAGTATTTTGTACAACAGACCAGGATGTTGCTTTTCTTTAAGTTTTATAAAGATATATTTTTTTAAAAAAAATCAACCTTTCTACAAAAATATCTTGTATTAGATATGTACACAGTCACACTAAATGGAAAGAAGTACCAGTCATTAAAACATGGGTACATAGATAAAACCTATTATCCTGGCTGGATTCATATGACAGATGGAAACTAGACTCACGCCTAATCTGTGGGTCTTCATGAATGAAGTCAATTAAGTTTGGAAAAGCTATTTATTATGAGATAAAAATGCAATTAGTGCTGATAAAACATTGGTGGAGTTCTGATTATAATGAAGCAACTGTGGATTTCAGTGGGGTGGGGCGATTTATGTTTTATCTCTTCTTTTCCAATATACGTAAATCTCTTACTGAGCAATTTCCGGGTTAGGGAACCTTGCCTGAGCTGACCCCTATCGGAGCCTAACACACCCATTTCCAGGGACAGGAGAGCTGGGTTGTGTCTCGGAAGCAAGCTGACTGAGGAATGGAAAGTGGCTGGCAGCGTGGATGTTTTTCTTTTCTTAGCTTCGCATCCATGGGCAAGGATTCCTTTGCTTCTTGCACCTCTTTCTGTAATGATGACACCCACGGGGAGAAAAAGAAATGCTTTTCTATAGTTAAAAGTTGACAGCAGTCATGCTAGTTAATAAAAACTGTCCTTATTTTCCCCCAATAGATAAAGTTGCAAGTTTACAAGGGTGAGAAAAAGTCTCCCCCACTTGGTTGCTGTGAAACATATTTTTAAAGTGTCAGAGGAGGGACCCAGCTTTCAGGCTCATACACGGGGCTTCTGTGTTTCTGGGGCTGCGCATGAAGTTGGTTACCAGCAAGATGGCTGTTGAGTGTTCTGAGGGGACCTCTGATTCATCTGAAAACTGGGTCATACCCTACTGTGGTAAATACCATTCCACAGATACACTGGGTGACAACCATGCTCTAAGACTCTGGATCTAGTCACCTTACTACACAAAGTAACAGAATTTGGTAAAACCCCAGTGCCGAGAATTGCGAATTCTTTATGATAGTCTCCATTCCCTTATTTAGCTCATACAGCAGGCTACATGAATAGCACAGCTGTTGGCTTGGGGTTTGCTTGTCTGCTGTTGATCCATATCTGGAGGTACAGCCCTGACTTAAATTTAACCACTACTGGCTTCAGAATTTGTATATAAACTGGAGGAAGTTCTTCCTGGGCCCTAGGAGTCTGCGTTTTAGCATCTATGTTAGGCAGTACTTGCTGAAGGGTTTGGGGAAAGCCGCGGAGACTAAACTCTCCTTAAATCCCAAATAGAATTGTGTGTCACCTAAGAGCATCATACAGGTGACCTTATCACCAGAGAGCCAACCAACTTGGTGTGGGTAACAGAGGCAATAGGTTCTTTCTGGAATATGTAGTCAGCCCACTGGAATCGATCCTAGCTGTAGACCTGGCATCTCCATTTGTACCGGTGAATAGCCTTGGTAGTATTTATTACCTATGAGTTATTTTTGGCCTTTGAAAATCTATTTCCACAAATTATGTGGAAACCTCCTTTGTTTACAGCATGCTGGTGTCGTTAATGATTTATGTTCCTGGGTTGATATTTTTTTCTTTGTTTAAAAACTAAGCCTAAGATGGGATTTGGTGGCTCAGGCCTATAATACCTCCACTTAAAAGGTAGAGACAAGAGATTCAGGAGTTCAAGGTCATCCTCAGTTGGAGGCCAGACTGGACTACCCGAGACACACTGTCTCACAACACAAAACCAAACGCTAAACTCTGTCATTGGTGTTGCAGTTTATACAGGCATTCTCAGCAACCATTGGGTATGAATCATATAAACTGTGGAGCTTAGGAAATGTGGAACATTCTGGTTAGATGCTCCAGGGCCAGGCTCTCACAATTTGCTTTCTGAAAAACTGCAACACGCAAGTCAGGCTTGAGAACACTGATTTCATGTCAAAAGCAGAATCTCTGACGCCTTTCGACTTTGGCATCTTCTTATTCCTGTTGTCCAGGACCATGGGACCATTGTGGTAACCTCAGGGTACCCCTGAAAATCTGAATTTGGGGCTAGGCCACCTCTGACAGGAGCAGTATGGTGAATCTTGCCTGAGACTAAGTGAGCCTCACTTTTGGCTGAGATGCCAGATGCACGAGACATATAGACAAAGGCGAGGTTTTCTCTAAGTATCAGCTTGATCACCTCTATGAAGAGACAAATAAAACTACTTGGCACATGTTCCTATGTCTTGTCCAGAAGGGCTGGTAGAAAGCCGATTTGGAGAGCTTAATATGTAAGACTTTTGAGAGCTGGGCGTGGTGGAGCATGCCTATAATCCCAGCACTTGGGGCTCAGAAAGGTTCATAAATTCTGGGTCACTCTAGACTACATGGGGGAGGGGGAGAGAGGGAGGGAGAACTCTCGAACTGCCTTGAGATGTTATTAGATTGGCAATCCTGGACGACAAATACGCTAGCTGTCCAGTCTAAAAACACTCACGTCAAACCTGAGATAGCAGGGGCATTGGGTATTTGACATGGGGACAGAGCGGTATTTGGGTAACTTTAAAAACCTTCAAGGGAAATGACAATCCAAGCTCTGTGGTTGGATTGCCTGAATTGCCCAACGCGTTATTTCTATCTCATTCTCTTTAAAACGTGCTTCTGAGTTTCCCCGTGGAGTCCTAAGACAGGCAGTTGAGATTCCACAAGGCTGGGACCACTTAGATGGTTCCTCTCTTATCTGATCAAGTTTCAAGGTACACTTGCCCAGCTCTTCACTGCGGAGGCAGGGCTAGTGGACTCATCTGACTCTGCTTGTCTGTTCCAAACACACGAAGTTGGTCCACCCGGCCACTCCATAGCCTTTCTTTCCTCAGCTGCCCAAGCCAGAGGCCTCATCAGATCACCCCGTGATGAGGCAGTCCTCTGGATGCTCTTCATCACTGAAGAACAAGAAAGGTCGTGAAACTTGTCAACAAATCGAGCAGGGGTTTTTTGACAGTGTTCCTTAAAAGCATGGCCGTGGACCAAGAGAAGCTTCCTCGCCACTTGGGGGCTTGTTAGAAATGCAGGCTCTCGAGGCTCCACCCCAGACTTTAACAAGACCCAGGTGATTCTTATTTAAACTGGGATCTGAGAAATCAATCGATGTAGGCATTGATCAACTGGACGCCACTCATCCGCGGAAATAAGGGGCTCAGCCCTTTGTGCCTGCTTCGCACCCGCTCTGCTCGGTAGCAACCGAACCCCCGGGGACATCGGAGCCAGGCGCTTGCCGAGGGCAATTTGGTGATTGGCTTGTGAGGCCACGTGACCAGTGCTGGGCTTCCACGCGACAGGATTGGTTCTTGCGGACGCTGACGGACAGGGCCGGGGCGGGCCAGAGCCCGGTCGGAGGGGCGCCCGCGGGGGCCGGAGGGGCGAAGGCGCGAGAGCGCGAGTGCGCGTGCGCGAGCGGCGGGGCTTTCTCCGGAGCCGTCGGAGGGAGCGGGAGCGCTTCTCCCGAGGTGAGCGGAGCGGGACGGTCCCTCGGATGGCGGGTCCTAGGGAGCGGCGGGGGATGGCTCGGGGATTCGCCAGCCCCGGGAGCCTTGCATTGGGGAGGATGCAGGGCAAATTCGTACGCCAGCCTCGGTGCCTCGGTTTCCCTTTTCCCACCCTCTGATACATTTCCCCATCCTCCCCACGGCTGTACCGGAGGAGGCTTGGCCACCTGGCCACCTTGCCTCCGCCTTTGTTTCCCGCCCCGGAGGGATGCTGCCACCGGTCCCCTCCCCAGGGGAAGGGCGCGGGAGGCGCCGCGGGGATGCCACAGGAGCTGGACCCGGGCTGGGAAGAAGGTGGCTTCTATGCAGCGGGGACCTGTCGCGTGGGAGAACGAAATGGGGAAAACGTAGTGTCACTTTGGTTCGAGCCCTTGAGACTCGAACTAATCCGGTGGCTGCGAGCGAAGCGAAATTCCTAGCGCATCTGATGATCTTTCTGCCTTGATGCGGGCGCGGGCATCCCCGTGCTGCCCCAGGAAGGGTGTCCTGGGAAGGCTGCCCTGTCTGTCCGCTGGACCTCACATCTGCCCTCACCCTAGACTTTAACCGAAACCCAACGCGCGGAGCCCGTGGAAAGAATCTGGAGATGCGTTAAAAAAAGCTTTTTTTTTTTCTTTAAAACAATTGGGTAGAACAGGTCACACACAAAAAAAGGGTTTCCAGAGACTATAACTGATGACTGGGAAATGGTGAGGGAATTGCCTGCAGTGAACTGCAGACCAGACAGCGCACTGAGAGGCTTCTTCAAGAAGATCCAAGAAGCGGGGTGGGGGTGGATTCTGTGACTTTCTAGGGCTGTTCAAGAGGGTACTTATTTCAGCCTGTCGGGAGGACAGTGTAGGAAGGGTGAAGTAGGGAGGGTCTAAGGTACACTTTCTAATTCCTTGAAAAAGTATGTTTTAAAAAAACAAACATTTGGCTGCCAGAAGAGATATTGGGGGGGGGGGGGGGGTGGATTCTCTGCTGAATCCTTCTTTGGAAGAGAGAGGGCGTGTCTAGGAGCTTAACGTGGTGGTTAAGGCGTCAGCATCTCTCCAGACATAGCAGCAACGACAGGCAGGACATCTCATGGTTAAACTTAAAAGATCCCTTGAGTTTCCCGCTGGTGAACTAGTTTGATGCACCTGGTGTCGTGAAAATGGTTCAACTAATTGCCAGCAAGATTTTCCTGTGCTCCTGAGTTTCCGTGTAACCCCTTCAGAACGTACTATGTTACTCGGAAACCCATTCAGAACTTACCTGCCTCTCTGGAGACGTTCTGATACTGCTGTAAACCCTTCCTTTCCCCCACATGAAGCCGTTTTTCTGCTACACGGCTAAAAATGACCATACCTTGTGTCAGCAAATACTCATTTTAATTTACTGAATTCCACAAGATTCAATGAATTTACTTGCTGAAATTTCAATTTACTGAATAAGTTAAACTTTTTTTTTTTCTTGAGAAAGCTCCCCTTTCATTTGATAGACTAGAGAAATCAAATGCAGGGTTTTTTTGGCTGCACCAAGTAAACTTCTGGTGGTTTCCGGAGATGAAGATGTGAGAGTCTGCTGCAAGGCACAGCTGACCCTCGTAGGGTGCAATGACGGTTCTCGGCTAATAGTCTGAAACACAGCGAATTCGTGGGACTAACTTACAAAATAGAAGCTGATGTGCTGTGGGGAAGGAAAGGAACGCTGAGGATGAAGGCGGCGGCATGCTTTGTGGAAAGCATTCGTTTTTATTTTTTAGAGGGAAGAATGACACCCCCCCCATGTAAGCTACATGTAAAATACACAGAAGAGCTGGAGACATGGCTCAGTGGCTAAGATACTCAGAGGTCATGGTTGGTTGTTTAACAGGTGGAAGTGGGATCAGCTGTGTCAAAAAAGCTGAAAAAAAAAAAAACCAAACCTCTGGTTAGGATCTAAAGGGCCAACAGAAAAATGGACAGGCATGGTTCAACTTGAGGGACCCAGGGCAACTCTCTGGCCTGTAAGACAGGGTCTTTGTCCTCCAATTCAATAAAAGCCTCTGGTTCTGCTTTCAAGATAGCCACAAAATCATTTTCTTTCTGTTGCCTCTGTCCGCTGGGTCACAGACAAGGAGGATGGAGAACTAAGGAGATAGATTATAGTCAAACCTGCATGCCTAAGCAGCCATGCTCTTTGAGAAGGATCTGTGTCACGTTGTGTAAATATAGAGCCTTCACCCTCGCGGTTGCCTGGGAGAGCTCCTTAGGGTGCACACTGTAGGGTAAAGTTGGCTTCCATGGGGGGCTGGGTGGGCTCATCTGCTGGGGCAAAGGAGAGCCTGGAATGTTTGAATTCAGCCAGGTTCTGCTGCGATGTTTGCATTATCGTCTAGTCTGACTGGCCTTTGCATGACTTCCAGAAGATATATGGATCATGTAACAGAAGTCCTGGTGAGGCTATGGTTCTCAGACTGTGACAGTTATCCCTGTAATGTGCTGTAGAAAAGAGCCCCACTAAGACACAAGTCTAGGATGCCTGCCTGTCTTCAGGCCTTTGCTCATGTCACCTACAGGTTTCCCTCAAACAACTTGTGCCTTTATTACCAGTAGATGGCGCTCTTGCCTCTGGGAATTTACGAAGAAGATGATTTTGGAGCTGTCAGCAGCAGCCTAGATTTTGTGTAGATTTTGGATAGGCTGTTAGCTCCCAGGTTAAAATAATCATAATGAAGTTCTGAACACTTAAGTGTTTATAATACAGGAATAATGGGGTGAGGATTTATTCTCTTTCTGGTGTGTGTGTGCGCGTGTGTTCTGATTCTGGGGCCGTAAATGGACAAGCAGGGCAGTGTAAGTTTAAGAGCTCTTGGTATACACCCTGCTGGTTAAACAGACATGATGTTGAGGTGATGAGTTGATGCTCATTCCAAGACTTCATTTCTAATTATTTGCATGCAGAGCTAGTCTCCACACAAGAATGACTCTGTGTACATGTGATTTTAAATCCATTCTGTATTCAGTAATACATGTCCTGAAGGTAGCAGGGAGAGTTTTCGTGAAAATAATGTTAAATCAATAACAAGACTGCCTACAAAAGGCAGGTCAAGTGATTTAAATCCATTTCTTTTAAGACTTGAAAATTTTCTGACAGGTGTTTGTAGTTTGTCTTAGCTACATTTGACCTTCAAGTCTGTTCAAAACTTGAACATTACAAAAAAACCAATACTTTTAACTGGAGTTCATTCATCTATCCTCCAGTTTTGAAATAACTAATTACTTTGTTCTTTGTTGCAGACTACTTTCTGAGGTGGGTCTTGTGCACACTAAATGCAAGGGAAGTTGGCACACTAGCTAACAATGGAGAAGTCACAGTGTAGGGGAAGGTTTTCTCTCTGATCCTGCCCAAGCTGTAGGACATTGCCTCTGGGGACCATCACCCCAGTCACCTCTCCCTGTGCTGCTGACACTCTTTAGCTCAGCTTGTTTTGGGTTTATTTCTGTCTCTTCCAGTGAACTGATAAGTTATTTTATTGAGTTCTTACCCCCATATCAGTGGCAAACGCTGAAATCCCATTGGCAGGAGATAGCAATAGTCACAAATCATTGGCACTGCCTCATTTTGTGGCGATAAATCAATCTGTCTTTCTGGCTGTTATTTTTCTTGTATTTACTGGGTTTGTCAAGTGATTGCAACTTAAGTATCTTTCCAAGTATGAAGTTCTTTGCCTAGGTGCTTTCCATGAGGTCTCTCTGAAGCCTCCAGACAATGTTCAGGTCAATTCTGGTGTGTTTGTGTTCTGAAGTTAAGACAAGAGGGCACCTTGCTAGTGCTCTTCCTCTCCTGTAGGCGCTGGGGTGCTTCCATCAGGTCCTAAGGTTCAGAGGTGGAAGAACCCATGCTTAGGACACAGAAAGTGCTGTGTCTACAGGGCCTGGCCACAGAAATTATCAGAGGAATTCCTTGATATGGGATTATAGTCACAGCATAAGTAGCTTTTGCCATGGGCTTTTCTTTTTAGCTTTTTCGTTTTTCTCTGGCTGACCCTGAGTTGGACTTTTTCTTGTACGTCTTTGGTGCTTTATCTTAACTTTTTTGCAATACTGTTTTCTGTAAGAAAATGTTGGGAGCAGTGAGACCCCAGATCCTGAATTTCTTGTAATCCCCTGATCTCAGTGCCTACAGCCGCTCTGAGCATGAGACCTTCAGGAGTTCCTGATGGCAGGAGAGTGGTTTCTGGTGGGTTTGGCTGGGGCGTGGCTATCTCTATATAATCTGCTCCTGAACACAATAAAGGGGGCATTCTTGGGGAATTCAAGGATGACCCGTGTCGCTGTCTGTCTGTGTGTGTGTGTATTTTAACCTCCAGTCCCCTTGCCCAAAGCTCATGAACTGGGTGCCAGCGCACAGAGCGCAGACATGGGGGCGTGGGGCGTGGTAAGAAAGCCTTTTATCGTTCTAGAATAGTTTTTGTACAGTATGAGGTCCTTAAATTGAGTCCATGGTCTCCCAAGTCTTTGTGGATAAGAGAGCATAATTTGCCTCTGCATGTCTTTGTGGTGTGTGTGTGTGTGTGTGTGTGTGTGTGTGTCTACGTGTCTACGGAGCTGGGTCAGGGTATGTGTGTGAGTGTGGAGGCCAGGAGTGGACTGAATTCCACCTTAGTTTTTGAGACAGTCACTCACTGAGCTTGGAGATAACTGATTTGGGTGTCTTGGGCAACGAGCCCTAGAGCTTTCTCTGACTCTGCCACCCCAGTGGCAGTACTAGAGGCACGTGCCGGCACACCTGTGTATAATTTTAGTGTTCATGCTAGGGACTTGAACTCGAGTCCGCACCAGTCATTTCTCTAGCTCCTTTTAGCATATTCTGAGAAGAGGGCTTTAGGCTTCAACAAAACCAAACGGATCCATGGCACAAAGTAGGATAAGAATTTGACTGTCTACAGTAGTTTCTGGAAAACTGACAAAAGGGAAACGTTACACTAATCCTAATTGGTCTTAATAATTTAAAAAAAAACTCAGAGCAGCCAACTACTAGTTCTTACCTCTACGATTTCCTCAGACCGAATGGGTATCCTGCCCACCCGAATCCTTAGATTGAATGCTGTTCTAGGAAACATCCCCGCCCAGCCATATCACTTCCAGTCCCCACCTCCTTAGTGCTGGGTTAAAGGTGTGAGCCACCAGCACTGGGGAATTTTCATCTTGTTCTATTGGGGCAGGGTCTCTGGTAGCCCAGGCCATTCTTGAACTTCCTGTGTAGCCAGTGTGTCCTTGAAGTTAGGATTCTTCTGCCTTTGCCCCCCAAATTCTGATATCATATGTGTGTGTGTATCACTATGCCAGGCTTTAAATAAGAGAATTTGTGTGTATGCATGCATATGTACATACACACACACACACACACACACACACACACACACACACGAGTGCACAGAGGCCAGGGGACAGTTTGGGCTATCATTTCTTAGGAGCTACTTTTTTTTTTTTTTTAAGACAGTATCTCTCATTGGCCTGGAGTTCCAAGGTTTTGCTATTTGTGTGTCTGCCCCCCCCCCCCCCCGATTCACTGTGTTATTGTGCACGTACACCACCATACCCAGCTTGGTTTCTGAGGGTTGAACTCACCCGTTTCCCCAGCCCCAAAGGTAGAATTCTAATTGATAAGCTAACGTAGTGGTCGGCGAAAGCTGGGCATGGAATGCAGACATTAAGCTGTGAACCTTAGGGATAGCATACCTTTATTAACATTCCGCCCCAAATGAAGAGGCTAAGAAAAGCATTTTACCCACCTTAATAATGGATGTGCATGTATTGGCGTCCATTCGTCATTTCTTTCTCGGTACCCTCCTGATTCCACCAGAATGCTTTCAAGTTCACTCTGCTTTATTGGCAGTGACGTGCGTAACAGGGGACACCCAGCTCTCATTATCCAATTTGAGCTCCACATATTCATTGCCTTCCTGATTTATGACATGAAGAAGTTTTAAGTCCTTATTAGCATATATTAAGTGTACGTAATGGATTTTATTACAGCATTCTCATATGCATATGTATTTTGATCATATTGGCCCCCGCTATTACCGTCTCTTGTTTCTCTTATCCTCCTGATGATCTCACCTCTCTCCTCTGCCCAGCTAATCCTTAGCTTCTGGTATCATGTTTTCTGTGTGATGGGTGGGAGTGGGGGTGTGCACCGCCATGTTTATCATGTTTTCTGTGTGATGGGTGGGAGTGGGGGTGTGCACCGCCATGTTTATCATGTTTTCTGTGTGATGGGTGGGAGTGGGGGTGTGCACCGCCATGTTTATCATGTTTTTGTGTGATGGCTGGGGATATGGGGGGTGCACATGTTTAATTAGGGTTATTTAAAGGAGCATCAATGAGATGTAATCTCAGGAACATGAGAAACTTACCCACAGCTACGCTACTGAAAAAAAGTCTCTCCCTTTCCAGCAACTGCCTGGAGATCCTCAGGGAGGGATGGGACCTCGTGAGTCCCTCACCTCTAGGATCCTCAACTGCCTATAAATCCTTAGGGGGCGGAGCCTCCTGTGCCCCCTCCCAATCCATGAGAGAGTGATGTGAGGTTTAGACTCCGGCTCCTTTCATTTGTGAGTGGCTACATCTGGCTGCACGTGTCTACTCTGAATTGTACTTCCACCTCCTAGGTTCACCAGGGTCCTTGAGATGTAAAACAGCTTAGATGGTAGAACGTCTAAGACATCACTAGTTACCTTTGTTGGTACCCAAGATGCACTGTGGCTAATTATTGTATCTCCCCTAACTATTTACAATCCCAAATACTTGCTTTAAATAGGAGTTACTTGGAATTTTTATGGGTTAGAAATAAAACTCATTGTTACCAGAAGCTGTGTAGACATGACTTCGCGCTCCATTCCCACTTTGGACACATGAAAAGTAACTTTGTTGGGGAGAATATTGCTTCGCAAAACCTCGGGTTCTGTGTCCTGTGACATCTTGCTCACCTTTTATTCTGCAATGGCCCATACTGGTAGATGCCACCTTCTGCTGCCTTTTTGGCCATGAGGTAGCATGACTTTTGTTTTTGCCTTAGTAGAAGAGTAAATGTTTTTTCCTTCTTGGTTTATGGAGCAAATTTATAGACTAGAGAACAAAGTCAAATTGTTGCTTCCAAGGTCAAATTCCTGCTACTAAGTTATTGTGAAATTTGGTGGGGCAAGGGGGCACCCATCACCTCCCTGCATTTGTTTCAAAAAAGGAAAAGAAGCAGTAACCTCTTAAGTTATAGTCACCTTCTAAGAGTGTGACTCTGTAGAACTGTACCCGAGATCCAGACTAAGTAGCTCTTTATAATGCACTAGTTGAAAATTCATTTCTAATCAGAAACAGTGCTGACATAAAATTTCCTAATGTGTAAAAACCACTTCGTTTACAAAGCTTACCAGATATTTCCCATTTTCTTGTCTCTTTTCTAAGCACAGAGTGGCCACTGAACAGCACCGTCAGGACTCCCTAAGGCAGTAGTTCTCAAACTGTGGGTCACTAACCCTTTGGAGGATGGAATGACCCTTGCACAGGGTCACACAGCAGATATCCTGCATATCAGTTATTCATGTAACGGTTTGTAGCAGTAGCAAAGTTGCAGCTATGAAGCAGCAGGAGGAAGAACTGAGAACCACTCTCCTAGGGCTTTTAGAGATGGAGAATGTCAGGCCTTACCCATGACTCTTCAACTCAGAACCTACATCTTATCAAGGCGCCCCAATGACATGAAGCACCAGGGCAGTCTGAGAAGTGATGCTTCCTTTCATGTGGAGTCTGGGATAGGCCCTGGGAAGGAGGCTGTGATGTTTTCCAGAAGAGGAAACTGAGAGCCAGAGTTGTAAGTAGGTCAAGATCACTGAGGTAGCATCATATTGACAGTGTCCTATTCTAAGCCTAACGCTTTCTTAATTAGACTGGAGTGAACCTTACCCAAGAGACCTCACTGCCCAGCCCATGGGGTTTGACTGTATGACTTGGAGCAGCCAACAGAAATTGAGCAATAGCAGAAACGTGCATACCATTTGCAGGGTCGGGGGCAGTGTTAGGATGTGTATTTGTATCCATATGCCTGTGCGTGCAAATGTCTTTGCAAATCCTTCATGCTATTTTCCATCCGTTGCTCACTGGAGTGGAGAGAACCCCTTAGAGGAACCCTGGAGATTATACTGTAAAGATGTAGGACTCACCATAGCCTGAGTATTTCGGTTTCTACATCAAGCCCATCCCTCTTGAGTTCCCACATGTCTAGGATGTATAAGAGAACCTCTTGGGTTGACCATGAACTGTTTCAGAGGTCGGGGTCTGTGTGTTCAGCATGAAGTTCATTTTTAAAAAATTCATTTGGACAATGGCTTTGGAGATGAAGTTGTAGATAAATTGGCCCTTTGTATTCATTCATTTTTGTCTTTGGCAGATTGCTTGGCTGTGGTCCAGCATGCAGAAGTGAGTGTGGGGTGAAAAGCAGCGGATCCTGATGGGTTGCGAGGATGTAAGAGCGTTTGAAGGCTTCCACACCCTCTCCTCCAGGGTAAGGCAAATGCATTCCCTGTTTTGCTGGCTTTGCTGAATCATAGATGCTCTTGTCTCGCCAGTCCCTTGGAGTCAGTGCAAATGGGATGCTCTGTCTCTGAAGGGCTTCTAAAGCTTTCCTTATTCAAATCATGGACTCAAACCAACAAATAGGAAAAATGGTCACCAAGGGGTGGGCTGAGTTCTGTGCATGAAGATATCGCTACATAGGGTTGTTGAGTGCGTTTGTATGGGGTGTGATTTGTACAAGCAGGCTTGTTGAGGCTTCCCGAAGAGCAGGGCAGAGGGAGGAATTGAGACTGCTCTTTTTCCTAAAGCCATATCGTATTGCTAATAGTCTAGCCAGATGTCCCTGCCCACCACCCTCCTCCTGCATGAATCCTTCACTGAACTTCTCCTTCATGATCTCTCTGTTCATGAAGGAAATAGCTGGTCAGCAGTGAAGTCCCAGGTGCGGTGGCCTGTAGCAGCTTAAAGCACAGCGTTCTGCCCATGCCATAGTTTCCATCTGGTATTCTGAGGGCTGCATACACAACCATGCAGCTGTGGTTGCTGGTACATTGCATGTGACTGCTGGGGACTTGGTAACTAAACCTGGTTTGGAGGGTTTTTTGTGTGTGACAAAAAATGTCAAGACTAGTAGGACATAGTGTTGTTTGGTGAGCCCTTCTGGATCTAGGTGGGGGTCCAGGGAGGAATGCTACCTCTTTTCTATGCTCCCCAACTTCCACACTTGAACAAAAACCAGACGCCTTGAAGAAGAAAGCGTGACTAATACTATTCCAAACAGAGCTGAGAATGGTTAGAGAGGGACAGGAGCGGTGGTGGGATTTTTCTTTTTCAGCTTTAACCTGAAGGGAGGACTGTTTTTAGCCAGTGGGGTCAGTGTCATGAGGCCTTCCTAGACGGAGGGCACCCAGAGACGCTGCCTGTACCTCCGTGCCTCATGGGGCTCATTAATAAGTACGATTTACTGAACAATACAGACGATTAAGGGCTGCAGATCCCTGGAGATTCCCGTCAGCGTGCCTCATTGCTGCTCTCGAGTGATGCACACGCTTAGGGATGAAGCAGGGAGATGCAGCTGGGAAGCAAGCTATCTATAGAAGAGTCCAGGTGACCAGCTGGCACCGACCTCAGCCCAGGGCCTGGGGGTTGCTCATTAAATTCCTTGTTAAATTTTGTCCCTAAAAGAATTTTGCTTAGCATGGGGCTAGTCTCCTTTTTATCTGTGGCTCCCACGTAGCCTCTGTTTTAAATGTATCTAACAAGTATTACGTCAAAAAAAAAAATAGCAATTGACCAGAATGTTCCTGTGTAAATGTTGTAGAAGGGTCAAACTGTGGAGGCGATCATTCTTTAACCATTGATAAGGGGCCAAAGAAAGTGGTGTGAGTTGCCAGTGCACTAGGCAGCGCTGGTTTCAATGAGAGAGGTCTTGTGTGGGCTGTTGCTGTGCATTGTAGGATGGATAGTGTGCCCTTGCCCTTAGCCTCTGCCCACTTAATGCCAGTAGCTCCCCAAGCAACCATGACCATCAAAAAGGTCTATGGTATTGTTAACTGTTTGCCACAGCTGAAGGGATATAGCGATTTAATCTTGTTCTGAATTTCTCTAGGGCTGTGTTTTAATTTACCTAATTCCTTTTTTCCTCCCAGTTTCCCTTTCTATAAAATAGGTATACCATAGCAACTCAGCCTGAGGAAACAAGGGGGCTGGTACTGTGTGGTTGTTGAGGGTTTCTGTAAATATCAAATGATAACTGTCTCCACAGATGCTTAGGGCCCAAGAATCCCTCCTGATCCTCATGATGTAAATAAGAGGAGAAACAATGGGAGTTAAAGAATGGCGAAGTTAGCAGTGTACACAGCAATGTGAAGTCCTAGACTCGGAGTTCATTGGCAGATGTGCTCTTGTTCACTGCAGCAATACATTCTGCATGAAAGCTTTTCCTTGGCAAAGTTAAGGACCAGTAGAGGGCACGAGGCAAAAAAGATGGCCATTCCAGAGTAGTCATAGAAATTGCATCTGACAGGGTGATTTCTTAATGTTAAAATGACCCAAGTATAATTAGACCAAAGGACATAGAGAAGAAACCACCAAAATAAAAATTTTCTCCTTCATGACTGACAATCCAGACCAATTTTTGCAGGTCATATAAAGATAGAGACTGCTTAGAGAAACTCATGATTATTATAGAACTTTTGTATTTCTTTCCTTTTTTGCCCTTTGAGAGTATGCAGAGAAACCCTGCCTTGAAAAGAGAGAGAGAGAGAGAGAGAGAGAGAGAGGGAGAGAGAGACTGAGAGAGAGTATGGGATATTGAAAACAGGCTTCTTCAGTGTACATCCTCAGGGTGATAAATAACATGATTTCATGATACATGTTCTTTGACATTTTCCAGTGTTATGTCTTGGAACAGTAAAAGGAGGCCAGATTTCTGAACTAATCTGAAATAAACTGCACTATTTTAGCAAAGAGCCTCAGTCCTGCTAGAGGACATGGCCACTGCAGGGATGGATAGAAAGAAGCTGTGAGCTTCTTTTGAGTTCTTCTGTGCTGTGTTTCAGGTTCATGAAAGATTTGCCCCTGCTCTTTACCTTGGATCTAATGTGTGGGAGGCCACTCTAGACAGTCTGGTGTCTTTGGCTTCTGGGGTGTGTGTGTGTGCATGCGTGCATGCATGTGTGTGTGTGTAAGAATGCCTGGAAGAGAGTAGGAGTACCTTGAAGAATGAGGCTCTTGCGCGGAAAGAGAGGTGGCAGGGCAATGATTATCTTGGTAGGAGTAGGCAGGTGTTTGACGCTGATATTTTTCTAGTGCTCCTGCTAGAATTTTGTCTCCAGGCCAGTCATCAGGATTGCCTGGTTTCCTGTTATTTTCTGCTCCAGATCTCTCAGAGTGGACCTCGTGATCTAGCTTAACAAGGCCCCAAGATGACACCTGGAAAATCCTTCTTCTTTTGCATGGCTTGTCATGTGTCATGGGTCTTACATGGCATCTTTGTGTCTGTAGTGGGGAAAGGCACAGAGAAAGTATTTGTCTAAGCTCTCAAATAGACATAGGATTTTCTCATGATAACAGAGAAAATTTGTGTCATCTTCCCAAAGTGGCCTAAACTCTGCCCCAGTAGCAGTCACTAGCCATGTGTGACTATGTAAATTGTTTAGATTATATCTCAGGTCTTCGTTTGATCTTATCACATTTCAAGTGCCTTATAGTTGCACATGGTTTCTGGCTCCTGTCATAGATAGTACAGATATAGAACCTGCCCATCACTGGAGAACATTCTACTCATCACGACTGCTTTAGATCCTAAGGCTCCCAGTGTATTAGCAAGTCGCATTTGTAGTGACCATGTACTCTTGTTATAAAAAGATATCAATTCATGCAGAACAGAACTCTTTTAGAATGGCTCTGTCCCGGTAAGACATGTGTCTTGCTGGATTTGTTTATCCATGTTACATTTGTCTGCTACGGGCAGTGCCCTGGGTCTGTCCCTCTGACATGATAGAACGCACCATCTTGTGGAGCTTGTCTCTGTCCTTTTTTTTTTTTTTTTTTTTTTGGCCCGGCCCTCAGCAGTGAGGCTTGTTTGTACGGCAAGCCTTTTATGAGATCGCCTAGCACTCCACAAAGAGTAGAAGAGGCGAGAAGAGAATCTTCACCTCTCCTTCTTCCAAGTCCCAACTTGGCCCAGAAAAGTGTTTCATAATAGGGTCTTACTTAATTCACAAGCCTACCCTCTGAGGAGTTACCCCTTGCAGAATGAATCTCTAATTTTCCACTAATCTAGTTTAATGACTAAGCCCTTTAGTAACAGAGAAGGCTTTTCTGTTGATATTATCTATTAATATTACCAATATTAGTTGCTCAGATGAAAAGAGAGGGAAATAAAGACACATTTTTAAAGAGATGTAATTGAAAGTTTTCTGAGCCCACGGTTGTTCTGCGTGTTACAGGGAATTCAAGCGAGAAGTTTGTGTGCCATTAGTAGGATGGCTGGAAGGGAAGGGAGAGGAGGCTGGGGTGAAATTGGTCTTCTAGATGATTCGCTTGGTAATGGGAGTGGGGTAGTTGGGACGATGACACAGTGCTGGTTTTTTCCTTCTTTGTGCTTTTGTTTTGTTCTTGTTTTTTCGAGACAGGGTTTCTCTGTGTAGCTCTGGCTGTCTTGGAACTCTCTCTGTAGACCAGGCTAGACTCAAACTCACAAGGATTTGTGAGGTTTTGGCTGTTTTTTTCAAAAAGACTTTTTTGAGTGGCTTTATGTAGAAGCAAAATGCAGAAAGGAAAGTACTAAGATCTTCTGTGTCCCTCCCACTCCTACGTATGCTTGTCTGTTCCTGTTGCCACTGTCCCCCTCCAGAGTGGCATTTCTGTTGTGTTCTATGAACTTACATTTATATCATAATTACCCCAGGATGGTGGTTTACGTTAGAGTGCAACCTGGGAGCTGTACGTCCCTTGGATTTGGACCAATGCATAATGACACATGTTCACTATTATAAGCACAGGCATTTTTTGTTTGTTTGTCTAAAATCCCTCAGTGTCCTCTTTAGTCATATCTCCTTCCCCTCCTCCACCCCTAAGCTATTAGAAGCCATTACTTTTCTTATGGCCACAATTTTGTTTTTCATGCAGTTGGAGTCACACAATGGGAAAACCCTTAAAAACCACTTCTTCTGCCTGATAGGTACACACAAGTTTCTTCCCATCTTTTTGTGACTTTTGTGTACTGAATAATATTCCAGAACTTTCTGGATATCTTGGATGCTCTCAAGGTTAGGCCTTTTTAAATAAAGATGCCCTAAACATCTATGAGCAGGCTTTCGGATGGGCATGATTTCATCTCTTTTGGGTAACTATCAAGGGGCATCACTGCTGGATGCTTTTTGTAAGAATGTTTTGTTTTGTAAGAAACTGACAAACTACCTTATAAGATGGCTGTACCATCTTACATTCCCACCAGCAAGTATGAGGGTTTCTTTGTTTACA